TACAAACAATAATAAATAACGTTAAAATATATATATACATTATTATTAATCGATTAATTAATACAGATTGCATATCGATCGAATACCACAAAGTTTTCATAAAATAATATTTATACCTATTTAAATTTTATTTGACTACATTTTTATTTTTATTTCACGAGTTCCATTGTGAAATCATATAAAATGCCCACCTTTAACATTTTTTGCCCTAGGACTATGACCTATGTTTAAAGTGCTCATAACGAAAACAACTTAAGTATTACATGTATATTTAATCTTGTCAAGGCTGAACTATTATTTTAGAGAAATCGCCGTAAGTGAAACGAGTATAAGTCGAAAACGTTCCTATAGTAATATCAATGACCTTCGTTAAAAAGGAAGTGAATTTTAATTTGTTTCGTTTAAGATAGGTTAGAATTTAGATTATAATATTATTTGATTTATCTCAGTTGATGAATATTAACTGATAAAAAAAAAAGTATGTACGTTTTATAAAATAAAAGGTTAGGTTAGGTTATTATATGAATTAATACTATTATAATTTATGAATATTAATATAATATATTATTGATATACTGTCCGAGGACCTATTATAGGTAAGTAGATACTTGGTATACAATTTAATGTTGTGCAGTATATTGCAGCATATTTGACAGTAGTATATTAATAAATAAAAATAAGATAATAGGGATAGGTGTAGCTACTGGTGTAGGTGGAAAGTTGGGAAGGTAGGATACAGACGGGAATTTGATGTATATCTGTAAGCAACGAAAAATCTGAGCTGAGTACAGTTGAAAATACAATATATGGTACATAATTGTCATATTATGGTAAAATGATTTAAACAAGGTGCACTTCCATGACAACAGTAATTGTATAAAAAATATTAAAATAATAAAAACTTAATAATAACAAAAAATTAAATAAAAACTGTTGCCAATGACAAGCTTATTTTAAATCTTTCAATTTTTTTTAACCTAAAGACCGATGTTTTCCTCATTATCTTGAATATTAATGAGAATTTCAAAAAATGACCTCTTTAAAGTACCACCCAGAAAAATTTTCTTTCAGAAAAAAAGTTGCTAAACTTGGTAATCGGAGTATGCTTTCTTGTAGAAAAAATGTTTACATAGAAAAAAATATTTGTAAAACCATAAGCTTTTTCGCTCCATTCAGAATCTAAAAATATTTAGTCAGTAACTTAGATAAGGCATTAGTATATATGTGAATCTAAGAAAAAAAATTTAAGATAAAATAAGTGAAACTAGAGAGCCTATAATAAAAATAACTATACCGGACATTTAACATTGAATATGCGGAACAGTTTTTTGTACATTTTTGTACAAGCATTGTTATCAGAATGGATTAAATTTTATAGTTGTCACTACTAATGCCATTTTACAAAGACAGAATATCGTTTTTAAATTACCACTTGTTGAAAAGGACATACAAATTATAAATTATCGGTTTGCAAATATTTAATTCATAGTCGGTGTTTTTTGTAAATTTTTAATAATTAATAGATCTGTCACAAAACACAATCTGATCAACAAAAAAGATCATTCAGTAGTAATTATTTCAAGGATTACCAATCTACTAGTCTGCGTAAGCACGTTTTTACTATGTAGCTCGTTAGTTGGACTGAGACAGTAAATTCGTGTATCACGTCTTCTCAACTAATAAAAAAATACATAGGTAATTGAACTTGCAGTCATACTGTAAAACGTATTTAAATAATGACAACATAGTGTAATTCAGGGCTCATGCGCTTTGATAATTTGAAGGAAACGAAAGCAATTACGTAGTTACCATAACGTACAGTACCTATTTGAGAACTGTTAGAATACAATTTATTACAGTTTTACTTTTTTCTATTTATCAAAACAAAAAGTTTACAAATAATAAAGCGTACAACGGAAAACTATTTTATGATTATTTCCACCCCAATAAGCATTGCATGTAGTGGGGCAAAAGAGTTACAAAAGAAATATTTATACTACTGTACTGTACTTAGATCCCGAATTGCCTTTATATGCATCGCATTCCAACTTATATCAGAAAAAAAGAAGACAGGTGTCATCAGCATATGCTACTATTGAGTCACGTACATTTAAATCACAAATAAAATGTATGTACAAGTTAAATTGGTCCCGATACACTGCCCTGCGGCATACCACAAACGATTTGTCACTTCCTACTGACAGTATTGTTTAATGATACCTACTACGTAGATAGCTAGAAAACCCATAAAGACTTTCTCGATTTATACCAAAACTAGGAAGAATATTTATTAACATTTTGTGGTCTACAGTGTCGAACCGTTTTGCTAAAAATCAAGAAATATTGCTATAACTTTTTTACTATTATCTAAATTTATTTCGGAAAAGACCGCGTTTTATGTATGCAAGCGTTGAAAATAAACGTTGAAAGTTCCTCAATATGGTTTCAAATCACCTTTCAAAATTTTAATAGAAATTCCATCAAAGCCGGAAGCCGATTCTTCTTTTAAATTTTGTATTATATCCAACACTTCTTTAGTTTCAATAGGTATTAACAATATTTCATTAAGAGAATAATTACAAATTGCATTACTTTGTTCTAGCGGTGTTTTTTAAATTTCCCCGATAATTCATTACCAACATTTATGAAATACTCATCAAATATGTTTGCCGCAAGTACTGGGTCATTATGATCATTTATAATCTGATCATTATGAAGAATTCTATTTATAGATTCATTACTGTTTTTTTTTTTGCTCCAGTAATTTCCTTCACAGACTTCCAAATTAATTTTGGGTTTTTCAAAAGTGTTGAAAATTCATGCTTATAAAAATTAATTTTCACTATTCTAATTAAACACGTTAGTTTATTGGAATAATTTTTTATAATATGTACGTACATTTATATTTATTTAGATGGTGTTTTCTAACCATTTTAGATAATTCATGTTTTGTTCTAGTTGAATTAAGTAAACCTAAGGTCATCCATTCCTTAACTATTTTATTTTTCGAATTCAATTTAAACAAAAACCTAGATTTCTCAACAGCATTTAATATTTTTACGTACAGATTATCAACACAATCATTTATATTTGTCATACAACATACATATTTCCCATCTCTCTTATTTTAAAATGTCAGACAACATATCATAACTTACAGATTTACCACAATACATTCTCGTTTAAAAGTATTGTATTTTAGTATTGACATCATTACAGAAAAATGATGAGTAATTTACGTTTTTAGTACACCCGCATCAGTGTTATCTAAAACGCATTGAGAAGCCCTTATGAAGATATGGTCTAGACCACGAAAACGCACTGATAACATTGTTTGTATATTAAGATGGCATTTAGTATTTAAGTGAATATGTCGGGTAAATCTTTTAACATGGAATGTAAAATGTACTGTGCACATAAATAATACAAACATCAACGGGAGAGTTTTTATTTGCTAGAAAAAAAAAAAAAAAAAAACTCAAGTATCATTTATTATGCTGTTCACCATGGTCCGTGTACAAAAACAGCCAATATGCGGAAACGTATTGGAATAATGATATCTATTATGTATCGTATATAATATGTATTTTTTTCAATCTCTCTTTTCACGTTTAATTAAACCAAAATCAACTGTAAGGAATTACATAATATAATAATGATATTGTATGATATGGTAGGCGGAATAACCGGTTGGAGAAACGGCGGATATCTTTACTGGATGACCGTGAAAATCGTTGACAAAAATAACAAAATATTATTCTCGGTAGTCCGAAAATTCACTGTTCGTGTTTTCTCGATTTTATACCCAGACAGGTACTTAACTAATTTGCAGCGATGTTACGAAACACTGTTGAACCAGTCTCAATCTATGATATGCACTGCTACACATAATCCGAGGTGGTCTAATTACACTACAATACGCACAGTGTGTACCGCAATAGAGTTATTATTTTACACTGTGTTTTACGCGGTGTGATTCTGAAACGATTTCGTTATTTTTAATTTAATTTTTTTTTTTTTTATCGCTGTTGTTGATTATTTTCCCTTTCCCGTCTATAAAAAAAACATTTGGCTGCAGCGGAACCGTAGCACGGGTTGTTGATGTGCAGTGTACACACGGACCTGTAAAAATGTGCACACGTACAGTGCACTTTATAGCTGTACCCCGAGCCCAGTATCCAGGGCTCGGATATTTGGCAAATTTCGAAATAATATTATTATCTTTGTGAAATATCTCGCAACAAACGTTTGGGGTGAACGGCTGTATTTTCTCGGGTAAACCCGTAACGGGGCACGTGCGTTTTTCGCTTAGAACAATTTGTATAACAATATGTAAACACACACGTGCCCCGAATACGTCTATTGTCAAGGTCAAAGCGGTCTAGTCTACACACGATAACCTGCCTTTGCGTTTAATTTATTTTCACACACACACACACGAAAAAGCTCTCTCGCCTATAATCCTAAATGTTTTATGTATCTTTGTATCTTACATTCTTACACCAAAGACGGATTTTGTCATACACCTGTTGCACGTAGCACGCAAATAATATGCCAGACGTATGGCCGTATGGGAGTATAAGAAAACGCGAGTTGATATTTTATTATTCGGTTAACTATCTATAAAATACGCGGACGGACGGCAGAGGTCGTTTATCGGACGAAAAACAAACTATACCGACCCTTTACATTGTTAATGTCAATCAGAAGTTTATCGCGTGTTTTTAATTGTTGTAACGTGTCGTTAACGAATAATATGAAAACGAGACCGACTTGGATACCGCAATATTATACGCGGAAAAATCGTCACGTCCGAGGGTTTGAAGAGCCCGGAGCGCCGGCATATAGGCAGATATTTTGGGATCTAGAATTTTTCGGCGTTTCTAACGGTAAAGGCAAAATTACACGGTACGGTGAACATTATTTCTGATAGTGATTTCGGTATAAAATAATATGTTATTCAAACATGTACGAGGTGTGGCTATTAAATAACGATACTGGTTACGAAAAAGTGTTTTATTATAAAAGTTATTCTACATTCAAATGCTCCCCTTCAATATACTCCCCTCCCCTCGCCACATACTGTTTCATTCGTTTCTTCCATTGCTCCAGGCAGTGCTGGAAGTCTGTTTTCGTAAGACCATTCAGGAGTTCCGCCGATTTTTCTTTCACCTCTTCCATCGACTCAAACCGGATTCCTTTTAAGACAGATTTTATCTTCGGAAACAAGTAAAAGTCGCAGGGTGCCAAATTGGGTGAATAAGACGCGTGTTCGAGTACTGGAGTGCCTTAAGCGGCCAAATAACGCTTCACGCTTTATCCTGGTGCAAGATCCACGACTTGTTTTTCCACAATATCGACCTTTTCTTACGAACTCATTCGCGCAATGTTGCCAAAACTGTCAAATAGTAATGTTGGTTCACAGTTTAATCCTCTGGAACCCATTCAGTCATCACGATACCGTTGATATCGAAGAAAACGGTTTTGAATTTGGATTACGATTGAATTGGATTCCGGTGCACTCTCGACCTTCAGAAAATAATTTATGCCACTCAAAAACACGCGCCCGAGATAGGAAATCCTCACTATAGGCCTCTTTTAACAACTTAGAGCACTCAGTTGGAGTTTTTTTTTAGTTTAACGAGAAAATTTTACGTTTATCCGTTGCTCATGTTTTTCGTCACACATGGTTTTCGGCACGAGAAAAAAACACGTTCGTTTCAAACCACTACTGCACAAATACTATAATAGTGACGAAAACGTGTTTTGGTACGTACATAGATAAGATATCTAGATAACCAACGCATTACTCGTTTTTTTCACTACCCATCTAGGGCGCCATCTAGGCGAGCAGTCTCTTGTTTAATAGCCACACCTCGTATTACATTCCTCTAATTAAATGCAGGGGCGCCATTACAGTTTTAAAATAGGGCCTAAAAATGTTTAGGCTGTGCCACATGGTCACTTGTAAACAACCATTGATTTTTTAAAACAGTAAACTTCACAGTTTAATACAATTAATACATTCACTCTAAATGAATAGGCGTAGAAAAATATAAAAATAGTACAAATGCAATATAAAATATAAAAAATATCCAAACATTTTTGGGGTGTAAGTTATAACTGGAAAAAAAATTCTGTTTTATTTTTGATTTTGTTTACGGTTTTTTTTTTTTTTTGCTTTTGATTTTGATTTTAAATACCGGTATTGCAAATGTTACGGTTTCAATTAAGATCAATAATACTAGTATCAGAATTTTTTGTTTTAATATTGGTTTCAAGTCCAGCATTAATGAATTAATTGACTAGTCGCCACTTCAGCATAGTAATTCGTACGCTCTTTATTTGCCAATGCACGTTCTTATAAATTTGCTTAAAAGAACTGTTTTTTAACAAAAACACTTATTATACCATTAGAGTAAAATTGGTATATTTCGGGTAAATCCACGGTTACTGAAATTCCCTTATTTAATATTTTTCGTAAAGCTTCGTTGTATTGAAAAATTCTTTTCGAGGCTGAAACTGTTTTGTGCGCCCGATTAACATCGAGTACGCAATACAATGTACGCGTTTACTGCCTTGGTGAGTAGGCAACCGAACTTCTACGAAATGTGCACCTAACGAACACAAAATAAACTATGTATATTCTATATAAAAATTATTATTATTTACACCTATATTGGGGGTCGTGACATTAAAAAAGGTTGAGAAACGCTGATCTATACTATAGTATAACAGCTATACTTCGAGTGACGGCATATGGTCAGCCGTCGCCGCATGCCGCATGTAATATTAGTATTATTATTAATATAAGTCTAAATACTATCGTGTAAAATCGTATACACGTTCAGTAATTACTAATCAGTAATCAGTATACTTTGTATTATTTTAATATTCCATGATTTTATTTACTTGAACTGAATTTTTTTTAAACAGTTCAGAATTTTGCTACGGTAGCTACATGGAAGGCTCTATGTGGGCAACGGGTGTAATTAATATTGCGAATTAACTCGTGTCGTGTTAATGTTGGTTCACTGATATTTTAACGAAGAAACTGGTAATTTTGCCGTGTAACTTTGATATTTTATTTTGCGTAGTAGTTATTTAATATATTACATTGAGTAAGAAAAGTTGAAGAAAAGCATTGTCTGCGTCAAATTCTTCTAATTTTTGGTAAATGGTGGATTTTAAAAAAAATTAAGCAAATCGCTTTGGAAGGTAATTAGCCGTCCTTTTTTCTGTTCGGTTGATTATATGTGCCTCTAATACAAGTTTTATCTCGTACTTTATCATTGGTATTATCATTTATCTGAATCAGAGACTACAATTGATGGAATTGGCCTTATCTGGAATTGTATTTTTTCAGTTCCACTTATGTTAATTAAGATTATTAACTATGAATAGTAAATCCTAAAGTCAAAACAATTTTAAGAATTTTTTAAATTAACTTACTTTATTTTTATTAAAACAAGTTGCACAAATGGTATTGTGTCAGGGTAAGTAGAATTGTCTTGCCTCCATAGTTTTGTTAGATCTTTAAAAAATTATATACAAAACAATTATAAATACATTTTACTTTTTATTAGGAATTTACGTTATAAAAACAAATATTATTTATCAATTAAAACAATTATTAGTATAACAAAAAAAAAAAAAAAAAAAAAAAAAAAAAAATGCAAATGCATAGTCCTGTTAATTTTAATGATGATTATTTTTTTAAATTCAAATTTATAAGTTTGATCATTTTATTTCAATGTTTAAAACATAAATAATTCAAAGTTTAATTTTAATTTCAGATCATTGTTTATTGCAAATAATTTTGTTTCTTTATAATACGAATTTTTGTTTTGGAAAGCTATAATCGATATAATTGTTTAGAAGATATGTTAAGTTCTTAAATTAATTTTGACTACCAAGAAGAAATATCGGAACCCAGATAAGATCAATTATAAGAAATCGCTCATAAAGTACACACAAAAACTAATATTCCTCACTGTATTTGGTCAGTTAACGGGAACCATTTACGATAATTAATCCTTATAATACCAGATCTCTATTTAAGAACTAAAAGAAAATATTTTTCATTCATCTTGACGTTTGTAGTGGATATGGCTGTCAGCGTAGGTGCATATGGTAGAGTAGGCGAATCAACCGTGTTTAAAGTCTGCCCATTTGGAAGGAAACTTTATTCCAGTCAACACAATTCACCAGATTCTACTTGCTTACTAAACACTACAGATTCTCCACAGCCTTATTTGATTGTAGAAGATGAAGCAAAAAATTCTTACCAAAAAATGGAGAATATTTCAGTGCCCAATTTTAGTTTAACAGAAATTTACTAACTATATAATAAAGTTTGTTGCATTTTGTACAACTTTGTACGTAAAAGAGATGGATATAATTTTAAAGACACCCTTTCAAATAAATTGGATGATTTTTAAGATTATGGAATTACTGGAGTCAATCAGCAAGAAGTAAATATATGAGAATACTTGACTGATTGTTTTTTAAATGTGTTTGATGATGCCATTTAATAATTAGTTTTATGTACTGCGAGAAATGTATTGGTTTTAAAATGTTTTTTTTTTTTTTTGTAGACAATTTTCCTTACAATAATTTTGCTTTGAATTACAAAAACAGTACTTTTTCTGAAAGGAGTGAACATTTCATTTTGTTAGAACAAAGTAAATGTATACAATTTAATTAATAGAAAAATAATATTATATAAGAAAATATATACTGAACATGTTATTATTTCCCGATAATGTAACTTATATATTGTTAATAAAGCAAGTCTATTAACACTATTATCTATTTATATTATTTATTTCCTAATTTACAATGAATGGAATGATTTCTGTTCCATTTTTGGTCAAAAAATATTATTACGAAACCGAATTTTTTATTATGGTGTCAAAATTATTAACTTTATGTGTATAATTACTCATAACGGCCAAATGTTAGCAGACAATATCGGCAAATATGCAACATAACAAAATAAACATATATTAAATGAATCACCTGGTTCGCAGTCATATAACTGGTCTGTCCATTTTCCATTAGGCAGGCAAATCAATCCGATCGACTTTTCCTCTGTTTCATTTAGTAATTTATACTGGTTTACAATTTGGTATTAATTTAGTACCCGGTTCTGAGTAATTTGAACAATCAGTTACTTTTCCCTCAAAAGTACATTTAATTTCTGTAATATATGATTTCACAGGTGGGCACTTTTCTAGAATAAAATTCAACATATCAAACAAACAATTTGTGTACCTATACACTTTAAATAAGCAAATATTTTTTAGTAGGTACCTAAAATATTTTCTACAAATAATTTCTACATTATACATTATATGGTAAATATTACCTCGGATTCACAATGAAGAAAATACGAAAACAAGTTTCGTATTCTTTTACATAATAAACAAGATTATATTATATTATATTTTTAGATTATGTATATAGATTAAGAATAAATCATTTTTTAATAATGAACCCTCAGAAGTCCATATATTACATTTTTGATTTCCTGATTTGTGCATTGTACAAGATCATGTATTGGATTTGTAAACGGATTTTACAATATCTACGGAAATCAAAACACAGAAATATAGGGAAAACTAATACATATTTAGAGCTGCTGTGATATTGTTTTTTCGAATTTTTTTTCTTGTGTTTTCTGTTTGTTCTTAGAGTAACGTATTATTATTAAAACTTGAATAACAATTTGTGTAGAAACTACATAGAACAACTAAACCCAATGTTGCATATTTAATATGGTGAATATATAGGTTTTATTCTATTAACCGTTATTTTGACAACACGATCAAACCGTAAATACTATTTTGAAAGGCGTGACTAGACGTATAAATGTTCAAAACAATGAATTTGAAAATTTTACAGTTGATGAATTAACATTTCTCAAAAAATGTCGAACAATTTTTTTACAGTTCCTATAATTTAGAGTATTTCATTTTATAAAACAATAGTGATACTTACCAGTGTTGTTTTTGTAAACACTCCTAATCCACTGAATGTGTAAACTAATATCCGTGTATGTAAAATACAGTTCTGTGCATATTATTAACATTAAACATTATTGCTTTTAAAAAACGTAAACCGTTATGTTCAGAAGTTATGATACTGCTACCAGAAATTAAATAATTTTCTCTCGGCTCTGAAAAATATTTATAGATTTTGAGCGTTGTATTAATGTATTGTTTTTACTATGATGTTTTGTTCCTTTAGTTTATATGCGTAGTGAAGAATGATTAAATATGAGGAAAAAAAAGGAAGATATCATTATTTTTAATTTTTACGATTAATGTGTTCTACCAGGATCGTTCCTGAATCAAATAATCTCAAGTGATCTATTTAAGTTGGTGAGTAAGTGGGTAATTTTTTTTGATTTTCCGAGAAGTTTTTATAATAATTGTGGGAAACCAATTAAGGACATAAGATAAAACCGGACAAATTTGTCTGTGTACGATTTCATTATGTTATAGTTTTACGCACCATATGTCTAATGGAAAACCATCAAAAGGATTGTACTAATATAAAAATATCCAGTGACCATATTAATCGAATTTTTAATTTAGTCGATGATAAAGGAAATTGTTGGATACAAATACACCAACTGTTTTCAATGGTCAGCAAACCATTTTCCGGTGCATAATATACCTTACTGGTATGCCGGTGATTGTACGCCGCCCACTGCTCTATGCATTACTTGTTGTGACGCCGACGACGTGGTGCGCCGATCGCGTTTGATTGCGAATACTTATGTGCATGACATCCGACGACGCCATTTTGGGTCATGTGAATAGGTTGAATTATGTATATGTACCATAATATAGTGTGATTATTTTATAGCTCTTAGTACCGATTTATTTATTTAATTAATATTTTTGTATGTATTCGTCGACTCTGAGCCTTATATTTTTTTCGACAGTAAGATAATATAGCATAGATAATATACTATGGATGGGGCCACAGGGTATTCAATCAATAAAACAAAACGTTGTCGATATTAAAGACGATTTTACGAATTAGTTGTTTGATATGTGTATGCGTAACGTCACTTGTCGCATATTTATCTGATGGATCATTCGGTTCATCGATAATTTTTAGAGAACGTATACCACGAATGCGTGCGTCGAACACCGAATTCGGAGACTCGTTAGATTAGGCCAGGCTAAACAATTATTCATCATAATGACATCCATAGCATTTGATTCAAGGCCTAAACATAATCTAATCTAACCTGTAATTTTTACTAGTTCACAGTAGCCAAAACTAAATGTACTCGGGGAATTTTATTTATGTACCACAAGAAGTTCAAAAATTTTAGAACATTATATCATAAATGTAATATCAACGTATATTATACGTTTACACTTAATGACCTTAAAGCGTTAGGTTCAATCAATTATTTAGTATTTCACTAAAGAAAATGAAAGATTGTTTTTCGTGATAATAAATATTATGCTATTAATATTACCAGGTTGTTCGCAACAAACTGTATCATTATTTATATCTCTTATATTGCCAAAAATGTTTATACATCCATCATGGCCAACGCATTTTGATGGTCCTTTTAACAATATACGATTTTCAGCGTTATAACCAATTATCCCTTCATACTGTAAAAAAAAGTCAATAGAATTTAGTTCGGTATATTTTAATATTAAATGTGTAACACAATTAAATTAATTCTATGATAACAAAAGAAATAAGCAAAAAGAACACGTATTAGTTTTTTTTCGAATGTGTATGCAATTAGTTTTTTTAAAACGAGGACGTTGTTATGGATGTTTAAGTCTTTTGAAATTACAAAGTGAACATCCCAAAAATAGAAATATTTACTAATTTTTTCAAATAATTTGCATTTGCAATTTTAGATTCTTAGGAAAGCGAAGAATCTTGTTGTTTTACACAAATTTTGTGTAAGTAAATTGACGTAGAGAGGTACCTTAAACGGGATGTTTTTCGGAGTTTTCAAAAAATATGAAAAATCAAAAAAAAAAATAAAACGGGAAAATTTACGAAATATATTTGTATAGTTTTACGATTTTTTTTTTCTGTGGACAACATTTTAACCAGCAATTTTATTCCATCTTGTAGTGATTGCAATTTTTCTAAAAAGAAATTTTCCTAGCGAGGTGTAGAGAGGTCATTTTTGATTTCCTCCGGAGTTTTCCTAGAAAATGTAAAAAATGGTAATGCCGGGAAAAACGTAGGAATACTGTGAAAATCGGTACAACAATAAACAAATATTATTATTGAAAATATACACAGCTTATTTAAATTTTTTTTTCTATAGAAAGACATACATATTTTTGGCAAAGCATTGATATCAACTGAACTCACAATCTTTTTTTTTATATAATGATTATCGTTGCTTGAAGGTATACATGAAATACTCTTTTATATCCTGTCATCCCAATTTCCCACTTACACCAGTGGCTGCATCTGTCCTCACAAACTTTTTAAAATTATTTTCCTTAAAATTACATAATGTAGTGATATTAAATAATTGTGTTTTTGAACAAAATTTAAATGGCAACACTTTCAACATCATATAAATAAATCATTGTGTAAACGAACGGTATGTTTGGAATTAATTTACCTCTAAAATATCGTTTTTAAGTAAGGGATACTCCATTGACCAATCAATACAAACGGGCACGATATATTCACTTATGTTAACGGGTTCTGATAAGACAAGAATCGTAAGTATTGTAAATATCCATTTGTGGAACCAATCTCTTAATTCTTTATAGTAAACACGTGAGACCTGAATAATTCAAATTTGAAACAAATTACTTATTGAATGCTTATAATCATATAATTTATGTAAAATTTTGAATTTCAATTAAAGAACATACTTTACTATTATGCGTAGAAAATGTTTTTCCCGATTTCGCATATGAAATACCAAAATAGACTGTATATTGCTTCTCGTCTATAAGATGCTGAGATGGCCATTCTGAAATACAACCTAGAAAATAATTTAAATAAATAAATAATAATATATTTTCTTTTTTTTAATAATCATCAAAGTTATCGTAGATGAAAGATTGTATAATCTAACTTAATTGATCTGAATAAAGCAATGTTAAGTATAATTTTTTTTTTTTGAAATATAAGTAAATAATTAAAATTTAAAGTGATACGAATTAGCTTGTTCACATAACTTCTTATTCTATATGAGAAGATACGGATAATATGATCGAAATTTGAAGTTTTATTAATAAGTGTTGCCGCTGCTTTAAGTGAGAAGTTAGGAAGGTAGAGTGGAAATTTATTGTAAATCTTTACTCAGCGATTAACGATTGCTAACGAAAAACGATTCAGAGCGGAGATCGGTTAATAGTATTACTTTGCCATTAATATTTATATCATATTATGGTAAAATAATGTAATATTATGCGTTATAGATTTACTTTTATAATATTTATTTAATATTGTATTTATTTTCCGGTTTTAATTTTTCGGTTTTCCCCATTTATTCGGAAAATTTCTGGGAATATCAAAATATGATTGCCGTAAAGTACCTCCTCAGTCAAATTTCCCATTAGAAAAAGTGCTATAATTGTAAATCAGAACAAAATAACTGGTGGAAATAATCCACAAGAAATAAAATAGGCTGTAATATTTTGGATCCTGAATGGAGCGAAGAAGCTTATGGTTTTATTTTATCTAGGTTGTCATTGAACACTTAATATTTCGAAAAATATAGACTATTTTTGCAATTCTTTTATTTAAAATACTTAGAAAACAAATAGTTCTAAAATGTAACATTATTATTTTTTTTGTTACCCTTTTTTTGAGGAGTGAAAACTTTAGATTTTTAAAATGCCTTAAGTAGATGGAGTATTAGTTAAAATACATTTTTGATTTCCGTCAATCCATCTCTCAATACGGTATAAAATTTCACACAGTGAGTTTTCTAACTATACACCACTTAGTTTGTGAAAATTTGTTCCAGCTTAAATATCAAAAACATATTCCACCATAACCAATATACAGTTATTTATGTTTGGTAAATCATTTACGGTAATTTTAAAACTTAATTATAGTTGAAAAATGTATTGGATATTTGTTCACAAAAAAAAAATCATCATATTGTGTTATTTGGAATTCCGTAGCATCTCTGTTTCATTTTTAAAATAAGGAATAAAATTAAAAAAAAAAAAAAATTGTTTTCTTCAGATTCAAAGCATAGCTCATTTTGATTAAGTTAGAGACTTCCATCAAAATTTTGCGGTAGCATAATAATATTATCAAACAAGGATATTATGCATTTTAAATACTTGTAGCAATTTCTGCAATTTTAAATTTCAATAATATAATGTAATAAATTAATGATTAGTTACTGGTGAGTAAGTAAATCAATAAGTACATTGCTACCTCGTGATGTTGAATTACATTCCTACTGCGAACACAACATTTTATATAATCTGATTTTCGACAAATCCTGGACGCAAAACGTTCTTTTTAGGTGGGAGGAGTAACGTGCGGTGCCTACACAATATCTAAAACTATATTTTACACGTGCATCTAGTTACCCGTACCTATCGATATGAATAGGATACTTAATAATACTTAATAATAATTTATATTTATCACTAATTAACCAATATTTTAATATTATTGTTTGTTATATATTATATATTATAAGCTATAACTCATAACGATTGTATTAAAACTGATAATTTCATAAGAGTAAAATTATACTTGTAGACTGACATAAAAATGTTTGTATCATAAATTGTGTACCCATTACTTGTTTTGTTATAATTTTGTAATTCTTTTTTTAATGAACTAAATATTTATGAAAACCATTATCTTAAATACGAGAGCAATGGTTTTTCAATTTTATAATGAAATAATTATTGCATAATATAATAAATTAATAATTAATTGCTAGTGAGTAAGTATATTGATAAGTACATAGGTATCTCGCGAAGCAGAAATTTATTTCTACAGCGAACATAACATTGTTTATGATATGATCTGCAACAAATTCTGGACGCAAAAGATTTTTTTTAGGGGGGGAGGTGTTACGTGTAGTGCATATTCGTACATACACAATACCTACTCACATATTTTACACGTGTACTTATATATAAACGAGCACCGATATAAATATGATAAATCGATGTTTATGTAATAATGTTATGTTAAAATATAATATAAAATACTATGGAACCAATATAATGGATAAGCCCGGGCGAAAACGTAATTAAAAATGTACACACGCGTACGATCGAGCAAAATACTAAGTACCACAGTCAGTCGAGCACGTACGCTACTGATAATTAGTTTGATTACTGATGGCTTTTGAGAGACATGTCTGGTTGTCTGGTTTAAGCAAAAATCTTCGCGCTGAACGTAAAACCATTCGTTTATTTGTAGGGTTTAATCAAACAACTCTAATACTATTCAATTTTATTTTAAACGAAAAGATAATAAATAAATCTATTCTTAAGTTAAATCAAGTGTCTATTCATTAATTTAATTGTGTCGGGCTACCCAAAGTTGCACCCAACAATGTTTGTATTTTTTTTTTATCTGTTAACAACTTTTCTACCAAAAGACTTGCTCGAATTTCTAAGCGCAGCACTTTTATTGATATTAAATCGGCGTGAAAAGGTACTTTAAAGAGATCATTTTTTGATTTTCTCAAGTGTTTTCTGAAAAAAATTGAAAAACCCCCCCAAAAAAACGAGAAAATGTACGAAATATATTACTTAAATATTACTATATTTTTTCTCGGGCACAATTTTTCTCCAACTCTTAATGATAATAATGATTCTAAAAGTAAATTTCACTATAGAGGGGTTTCGATTTTTTCAGGAGTTTTACCAACAAATGTTAAAAACTGTGATAAAACGTAGGAAAACCGGGAAAAACGTAGGGAAATTGGCAAAATCAATACAACATTAAACAAATATTATTAAAAAAAATATATAAAGCCTATTTAATTATTTTATTATAAAATGATTTATACTTTATTGACAAAGTATCACTATCAACTGACTATCAACCGATCAGAATCGTAAGCAATGATTTATCGTTGCTTCAAGTTATACATTAAATTATCTATACCAGTGGCTGTATCCTTCCCCATTATCCCAGGACGTCTTTTTATCATATAATTTTACCTATCTGAGCTTTATCTTTAATAGCCGGATGCAATATTGTCGGCAATTTTAGTTATAGTCATTTCTAACAAAATATATTACAACCGTTTGGAAAAACCACACATGTATGTTCATCTAAAATGAGACTTTTCGTCTTTGTTGTTTGACTTTTGCTATCCAGTGCGCTGTGTGCAAACTGTGCATACTGCATGCCAAAATTAATAATCAGTAGTCAGTGCCTGTACACTATTCAGCAGGTACTTTTAGTGATGTCACTATTAATTACTTATTAGTTAGGTATATATTAGGTGACTGTGTAAGAGTAGATTTTATGATAATATTACAGAACCGCTTTGCTGGGACTTACTTAACTCATAATAATATAAGATCTCAATAATTCTCGCCAGGAGGCACTACTGAAAGCCATTCTATTCGCATTGTTGTATTGATTGCAAATAAATAAAATGCATTTAAAATATATATATGTTACAAAATAAACATACTATTTCATTGAAAAAATAAGAAACCACACAAGTTGAATAACGCTTTATATTAAAATAACGTAAAACCAAAGAGTTGTATAATTGGGCCGCAGCCCATGGGTTGGGTATTACTGGCAATATGTGTTTTTGATTTCCTTATAGGAAAAATGGGGCCATTAAAATCAAAATCAAATACGTAAAGAAAAAAAAAAAATCTAAATTAATAAATTATAGCAATAGAGGTAATTGCAACAATAAAAAGGTTAACACGATGATAACAACTAGAATATTATACGATGAGCCAATCGATGAGGTCAATAGGGGATTAAGTAGTTAGATTATTGTATGTAATTATTAGCTATTCAAAAAAAAAAAAAAAAATGTGAAATAAATACATTTATTTTTATAAATAATGATATCATAATGATTTCTGTTTTCCTCTTGGAAAATATAAACCTGATTTTAGTAGGAAGATGTTATGTGCTGTGCATGTTCGACGTACCTACAAAATACCTACACATGTATTATACACGTGTATTTAGGTTCACCATTTAGGTTCACATACCTACCGATATGAATATGGTGATCCGATGTTATTATAGTAATGTTATGTTGTTTTTATGACCAACAATATTATATGCAAGTAGGTATATCATTGTCGGTAAACGCGGACGTAACCATAATATTTAAAAGAGCTGATACTGGGGACGTGTGCGGCAACTGTTGTTGGTGGGAAGTTGGGAGCAATAAAAATAATTTTATTTACGGAAATTAATTTTCAATTTAAAAATAATTAATTTACAGAGTAAAGTGACAATTTATATGAACACGGTAAAAGAATTAATCTCGTAATACTAAATAATAAAATTAAGTTGAACATTTAAATTATCATGAAAAATAAATTAAATTATAATATTACCAAAAAAGTAAATTAATTTTACAAAAACGATTTAAGATTACGGACACATATCTTATTAATATTACCGGAAAAATATTAAATATTAATATTAATATGAAGATAAATATCTTTTGGAACAAAATCCAAGTTATTTAGGAAACAATTAAATTTAAATCAGTTTTCAAAATATTCAATAAACCGATTGAAAATTATGGATGTAATTATTATAAACGAGTATTATAGATAGTTAAACCGTTTTAATACATTTTAAAATGGTTTTATTTCAAAACATTTTTAACGCCAACATATAAACCTAGTAATAGTAAAACCAATAGATCCATCCGCTACATTCCGAATCTAAAATCAATTGAAATTTAAGACGAATTTACAATCGTATATTTAAGTTATTTTCAATAAAATTGAACCTATTAAGTACTAATATATATATATATATATATATGCATGTTTTTACATTGAAAAAAGTGCTAGAATTGGACAGGAGATAATTTTTTCGGTTTTGATTCCAATTTTTTTTCTTCCGCTAAGTATGGTGCACATTTGTATCTATAAACCCAGGGCCGTTTTAAACATTTTCGAGGCCCTGGAAAATGGTGAAATAGGGCCCATACGACTTGGACAGTACTATTTCAACAGGCAATAGGTTGGTGTTAGATAAGCAAAAAGTCTAGATAGTTTTATTTATTTTCATTTCACATTAAATGAATCAACAATTATAAAATAATCCGAAAAAGTAGCTCTTCTAGCGTTCACAATATACCTAATGCTTGAAAGTCAATTTTGATTAACACGTTGACCAACATGAAACCTCAATTTAGATATCATCATACTTTATCCTAACCGCCTAAAGTTTTTTTTATTAATCTACTAAACACATTTTTATTATTATTCATTTTATTAATTTATTATTTATTTTAAAATTTATATTTCTTTTTATTACTGTCCATCAAGAATATTTTTTGTATTTTTAAATTAATATGGCTTGAGATCTGAAATTAAATCTCATTCTGAAAAAGTATACTATAATGCATATTACAATGAGACTTTAAATAAAATCTCAAATATTGGATTAACAATAAAAATAACGTTATTTAATCATGCACTTTATTATTCGGTAGATTATATTAAGAATAATAGAACATTTAAGGATAGTAAAAATTATCCGTTATCGCCCATTACGCTTATTGTATTTTTATAAGAAACTGTTAAGAAATTATTAAGCATTATATTATATTATTGCAAACATTATACCGGGTAATTCTTTTGTCGTTGAACACTAATTATTTCGAAAGGTATTGACTATTTTAAATTTTTAAAAAAAAAAAAAAAACGGACAAAAGTCCAATTCACAATATATTTGTATAGATAATAATAAAATATAACTTATATAGATTATAAATTTATATAATTTAAAACAATAAAATATAATATAATAAAAAATGAAAAGATTAATATATCAAATAATAGTAATAATAATAATAATAAAAATACATTCAATGTTTAATAAAATAATTAACTATTTCCCGAAGACATTAAAATATTTATGGGGTCATATGACGTAAACTTTTTAGATGAATGAGGAATATAAAATAAATGATTGTTACGAGTGTGGTGGCTATTAACTTTGAAATTTAATTGACTTAATATAAATGAATCATCAATCTCATTATTTAGTAATTTGGTGAGGAACGTACTGTATGATAAGTGTCTCCGTGCATTTAAAGAATCTAAGTTTAACAGTTTTAAAATATTATCGTAGCCAGAGTGAGGAGTTCGTTGAATATTACATNTATTGGAGCGTATTCTAATAAAGAACGGACTAGTGAGGTATAAAGGCATTTGAGAGCAAGTGGATCACGAAAATCGGAGCAGTTTCTTTTTATCATACCAAATACAGATAAAGCTTTATTTTTAATCGCTGATACATGATCATTGAATAATAGTTTGGAATCAAATAAAATCCCTAAATCTTTAAATAATGACGAACGATGTAGGTTAATGTCACATATATGATAATTAAAATGTAAGGGATTGTGCTTTTTGGAGTAGGTAACAATTTGGCATTTATTAATATTTAATGAAAGACTATTTGAAATGCACCTCTGCAATTTTCTTTTGCAGTTTTCTTTGAAAACTTAAGAAACAACTAGTTCTTAAACGTTACATATAATTTTTTTGTCACTCTTATTGTTTGGGTAAAACGACTACTTATTTATGATTTTCAAATGGCAACCTATATTGAAAATGCCTTAAGTATATGGAGTATTAGTTAAAATAAATTTTTGATTTCCGTCAATCCATCTCTCAATACGATATACAATTTCATACGGTGAGTTTTCTACCTATATACCACTTAGGTTGTGAAAATTCCTTTCAGCTTAAATATTAAAAACATATTCCAGCATAATCAAAATACGGTAATCTACGTGTGGTAAATCATTTTCGGTAATTTTAAAACCTAATTACAGTTGAAAAATGTATTGGATATTTGTCCATAAAAAAAAAACAACACACTGTATTATTAAGAATTTCGTAGCAATTTTATTTCGTTTTAAAAATATGGAATAAATTAAAAAAAAAAAAAACAACTTTTTAACAATACAAGTATAACTTTTATATTAAATAAATCAAGTATCGATATTACTATTATTGGATAATAAACGTAATATTATAATAAACCGGTACAGTGAAAAATACCAAAATGTAATGAAGAATTTATATTTACAATAATTAAAACGGATTCCATTTGAATATAATACACGTGTATAGGTAGATACATCACAAATAGGTATATTATTATTTTCAAAAGGCATTAAATAACATAAATACAATAAATTCTTAAATGTATTACTTTGATCAAACAAATTATTCAAAACAAATATCAACAAAAACAAATTGTGCATTTGTTGGAAGATTATGCCTATGTGTACGGGTGTCCGATGTTTTTCTTCCGATTCGGAGCACAGCACATTTTTTTTTTTAAATACTAAGTTCCAACAACATTCTGCGATAACATAATAATATTATCGAATATCGGTATTTATCGATATTATGCATTTTAAATACGAGAGCCATGTCTTTTCAATTTTATAATGCAATAAATGCATAATATAATAAATTAATAATTAGTTACTGGTAATTAAGTTATCTGATAAGTACATAGGTATCTCGCGATGCTGAAATGTAATTCTACCGTGAACACAACATTGTTTATCATATGATTTGTGATAAATCCTGGACGCTTAGATGTAAAATTTGAATCCAGGGCCAGCAGTGACGTATTTACGATTTTCTTCTGCAGCTATCTGTTTTTTTTATTTTTGAGATCTTATCAAAATCGATCAGCGAATGTCGATATGAGCAAAACAAATATAGTGAATTCAATTCCATTATAGTTTAAAAAAGATATTTTTTTGCAATCATTCAAGAACAATAAACTAAATGGATACTATAGATAACGCTATATATTTTTTTTCTAAAATATATATGCTTCGTTATACTTGACGATATTAAATTTATGATTTGAATAATATAATAATTGGTAAAAATATGACAAAACAAATTAATTTTTATTTTTAAAAATATTATTATATTAATAAAAAAAAAAGCTGATACAGGGAATGGGTTTACAACTATTGTAGATTAGGAAATTAAGGAGGTAAAATACGTTTAGTTCCTTAGTTTATATCTTTACCCAATAATAAACCATTATTAACGTAAAAAAGAATCTGTATGAAGTTCTTCATACTTTAAAATACCATAATTTTTTACGATTTACAACGAACCTTGTTTTAACTTTTTAAATATTTCTATTTGGTGAAATAATTGTATTCACATAATACTAAATATCAGATAAACACTAAAAAACTCGAAAATGTCAAATTCCTATAAGAAAATGTCTACTTGAAAATCGCGTGAATATTTTGAACATTTACCACACTTAGAACAAAAGAAATTTAATAAATTGTCGGTCTTTACGACTATTTTTAATTACAACAAAAAAAACAAAAATAATAAAACCGTTATTGCCGTAAACTTGTTTTGGGTCTCTTCGGAATTATTATGAAAACTTCACAGAAATTCAAAAAAGCGATTGTTTTGAACTCAAACTAGACATTTTTTTTACTCGTAAAAATAGCTGCACTTAAATAGATATAGAAAACGGAATTTGATAATATTTAAAATAATGAAATCCCAAATGCCGTAAATTTGTCAGCTGTTCACTATGTTTATTCAATTATTATGAAAATTGTCTGGAAAATCAAAAACTGACCACCAAAATGCACCAAAATTCAATCATTAAGGACTCTAATCATCTATTGATTGGGGCGAGTTGTTTGATAGAAAGTTTATTTACAGATAGAAAACAAAATAAAAAGACGGACATTCTTCGCACAATGGATGGGCCACTGATGAAGGTGAGAAGTTCAGAAGATAGGAGTAGAGAGAAATTTAATGTGTATCTTTATTATTGCTACTGAAAAACGATTCTGAGCGGGATTCGGTAATACGTGTTTTATAAGGCCATATACTAAATTAACTATTTAATCTCCTGTTAAATTTTTAAGCATTATTTTTGTTTTGTCTTACAATTTTATCCGCTACGTACTCTACGAATATTTTCAACTGAATTACAACAGCAAAAAAAACAATATTTAAAATAATAATAGCATTATTTTTGTAAATTTTCCCGTTTTTTCTATATTTATTTCCAGTTATTTCCAATTATTATGAAAATAGCAAAAAATTACCTTCTAAATACTAAATAGTATTTTAAGTACTTAATAGATAAAATTCCCTTTCGGAACAGATGCTATACTTGATATATCGGGGCAAGATTTCTGGTGGAATTTTTGTACAAAGTTAAAAAGAAGTAATAATAACAAAAATAAATAAATATCGTTGCGGAACAAACACATTACTCGCTCCGCTCAAAATAATAAAACAGTAAAACCAATACATTCTAAAATATAGATTGACATTTTGTTACCTTGTGCAAGATATTTTTATAAATTTAACAACATTTAATTTTAAAAAGTTGAAAATTGTTATATAATACAAAATAGTGGAATATTTAGGAATAGGGGTGGGGGGGAGTGGAGATATTGTACACTGGTGATTTATTATAATTTATTAGTTTTCAATTTCACTTATTTTAACGATTTCAAATTTAAATTTTAAAAATAAACAATAATATTATATTAACTTTAATATGTATTAAAACTGTTATAGTATGCTTGATTAATTAATTATCGCCCATATTTTCGTTCTTATTTTTTAGTGGCATTTTCTCTTTTTCCAGTTTTTTTTAAATATTTCATATTAATACTTAATATGTTTTTAAATTAAATACAACGATATATATACCAGTTGCATAGATTATATATATATAATTTTTTAAATTAATTATCAAAACACAAAAAAAAGTACGCTCTTGGGGTCTTTGAAATTTTAATTTATATAAACTAAATAATCGAACAGATGGCCATTCTGTTGTTGGGTGATTATGAATTTTATTTTTAAATGTAGAACGAATAACCACAATTAATATCTAATCAACTCAATTGACGTTGATTTATACAGGGTGATTATTTTGTCACAAAACTGCAGCGTTTATTCTACAAAGATATTGAGGAAATTTTATTTCAGTGTTTTATTGTGCATATTATTATTGGTAATCGTTTAAAATGTTATTATTTTAGAAAACTTTGAAAATTGTCTCATTATTCTACATACCATACAGTAAATAATCAACAAATAATGATTTTTCAATTTAATTTTAACAATAAGCGTGATATTTTGAACATATTGTCAACAATTCATAATATGGAAACAGAAAAATCCAAAAATCAAATTTATTATTGAATTTAAATGAACATGTGGCATTTCGGCGGGGTCTATTGAAAAGCTGGATTTTTACTTATTGTTGATATTTCAGTTATAAATGGCTGTATAGGAAACGATGCAGATATTGATTATACAGTTAATTTTGTTTTGATTATTAATGACAACATACGAGTTTGTAACAAAATCATACGAAAAATTAGATTACAAAATATTATAAAACTGTAAGCAATATAACGACAAAAAATAATAAAATCAATTTATGCATATTGATTACTGAATAGTAAAATGCAATTATATATTATTATGTTAAACTGGTAATAATATTTTTTAAATATTTTTATCTAACAGTAAAATAAGATAAGAATACAATTTCAGCAACCTCAAGGGGGCATATGATGCTATGAGTTTAGTGAACCTAGGGCCCCGAGGTTCTATTTGTAGAAAACCAAAGAGTATGATTTCAGTTGGAAAATTATATTGTTTCTGTATGGTGGAGGAATTCACCATTTTCTCAGTGGAAGAGGATCAGAATACTCCCACGGTACCTCTATCTGTCATAATACATGACAAATGGGATTGCGTCAGTTTGACAGTGTTAAATTCGGTCAAAAAAAATGAGGAGTTCTAAACAATACTTATGAGGATTTTACATGTTCACGAAGACAAAAGGTGAAGAAGGGGGGAAGGTTCTGTGGTAAAATATATTTGCAGATAATGCAGTTAAGATAGGAGAAAATGTGGAAAAAGTTAATAATCTGCTCGAGAAATAAAGATTAGGGCTTAAAGTAAAAAGATTAAGGATAAGTTATCGTAAAATAGGGTATATAGAATATGAGTTTGGAGGAACAGGTTAATACAGTGACGTAATTGGAGAGGTTAAAAATCTTGAAGTTTAGGATTTTTGTTCACAATAATCGTGGTTTTGACGAGGATGTGAAACATAGGATTAAGTGTGGTTGGAAAAAATATGTTTCATGTATTAAGAGAATTCCAACGAGCCTTAAAGAGAAGTTTTACAAAAGTGTGATGAGACCAACTATGTTGTATGGTTCGGAGTGTTAAGTGGTAGCTAGAATAATAGAACAGAGAATGAATGTAGCATAGATGAAAAGTCTTAAGTGGATGAGTGGAGTGACGAAAGATGATAGGATAAAGAATGCATAAATACAATGTGGATAGATAGTAAACAAAATAAAATAAAATAGACTGAGATGATTTGATTATGCTAAGAAGAAAAGGGAATTGGAAGCAATCAGAATTGTAATGAAATAAAATATATGAGAAATGAGTGGGCGAGGAAGATAGAAATAGAGATGGCTAAATGGATAGTTGGAGGAGAATGAAATTATTTTATTTAAGACACTTTCAATAATACTTATATACGTATTATACTTACATCATCCATGGAATACATTTCATGTAGGGCCAACATTTGTTTTAAATTCAATTCACTTTTATTTACTTAACTCGTTTTACATGGAAAACATTTCGAGGAATCAGGACCCTTAGATACCCTCCACAACTTTGACCTTGCTGACATCTAACATAATTTTAACAAGAAATATCAGAAGACTTAACAACCGGTTCAAGTATTATTTAATTGTTTAAGTATTATAATTATGTAAGAAAGAACAGAATTGACACAATGTAAATATAATTACTTTAAAAAGCTACATTTTTTGGGAGGATTCTGAAGGGACTTGATATTCTCCATAGTTAGGTTTTTATCGGGAATGTTATTTCTTTTAACTGGATTCGTTCAAAATAATTTCTGATTTTGTATAGGTAACAGAGTTCAATTAGATAGGTTTTGTTAATTTAGGAATATTTTATCAATAAATAGGCGAGCGAGTGTGTCAAATAATTGGCTGTCACCTTTCACATATAATTATTCTGTACAAATACTGAATTAATATTAATTAATAAGTATAATTAACAGTAAACTTTGTCGATAAACTCTTTTCTTGGAAAAAACAATATAGTTTCACCAAAAAAAGTAATTTGTTTCGACAGCACATTGTACAGGAATCTGCAATTAGTCATAAAACTCTTTTTAATTAAGAGATTGAACTTAGATTGAACTTAGACAAAATTTAAAACTTATTTCAGAACCTTAATTTCGATTTGAACATGAAAAGTTTTAATAAAAGCTTAATTATTTATTTTTTTGAATTTGCACGTCATGCATTTAGAACTGCCCAACCTAAAGTAACTCTAATTTGGAAAAATTACAATTTTCAAATTTTCCCTTTACTTACACTACCTTTCTACCAACGAGAAGTGGCTTATCATGTAGATGATGCCAACTTTAAAAAGATTCCCTTTTGAAAATGCTTAATATTAAAGATTTAATTTTTACAGTGTACTTAACTACTTAAGTATAATCTATTTTAAAAATTTAAAGAAACCTATATTAAGAAGAAACTGAGATATGATAACTACAAGAACAAGGCGAATTGTTTCGTGTAAAAATACACTGGCATGCTTGTAGGCTTATTGTAACTTCACCTGTCACACTGCCATGCGTTCAGTTTTTAGTATGAAATTGTTGCTTGATAAACATTTAATAAAATGTTAATTGAAAACATAACAATTACGAGTACTTATAATATTTCGTCGTTCCGTAGACGAGAAAGAATATTTAGATACTCAAAATATAATAATTATTATTATTTTTATATAGAATTTAATATTACCCTGTAGCAAATGAAAACGGTTATATAATAATGAATAATATTATAGTGACATCACATTGCGACGGTACACCGTAATCGTAATATTTTTTTTTTTTTTTTTTTTTTTTAACAATTTTTTAACAATATTTAATATTAAATTAACAGAATAATATTAAAAAAAAAAAAAAATCCTTAACAAAAATTATTTCATCCGTTCGATCGACAATAAACTCGTCGCATATCGATGATATAATATTATTATATAAAAACATTATTATTAAGTAAATGTAGACCACGAATTATTAAGTTGTAGTGAGGATGCCCAACGAGCTATGCAAAGTGACAATGTACTCTGAGAAAATTATGATTAGCACTCCCGACGGTTTGATACCCTAGTCCCGTGTCGGCGTGATGTAAAATATTACCTCTTAAACGCTAATGTCGATTTTTGTCGTAGCTCGTTTAGCATACCTCGAATACGTATGTTGTACGTTTTAAATCTTAATATTCGTGGTGCCAAAGGCCAAAAAATGTTATTATCATAGTTGTGGACAGATGATTGACGACAGCCATGACCTGTCGGTCGGTCGGTTGGATGGTCGGACGGAGACGGCACAAATGACCGCCGAAGTTCGCATAACGATGGTCCATTATAGTTTCCAAGACCGCCGTCAGACGTTGCGTCGCACATTCGGCGGTGGAATCTTTTATAATCCGCTTCGTCTACCAATTGAACAGGCTCGCCCGGTCCCGCGTGCCCACGCGCACCCTAGGCGAGCGTGGCTCGTTTCACAAAACCGTGTCCAGCGTGTCCAGCGACTGGAGTATCCCCTCGTCACGACTGCACCATTCAATTAACTCGTCCAGGGTTACATTACCGTCGTTGTTCTTATCGATCAGCTGACATGTTACATGGAAAAACAGAATAAAATTCCTTTATAAACAAAAAAAAAAAATAGTAATTTTTACAAACAACTTAATTTATATACGGTCGAAACGTGCGTACCGAACTATTTTATTCAAACAGTACGTCAAACCGGAATTGAATTAAGGAAAAAAAAAACAAAAACAAAAAAGTTTTAAACATTCAAACGGATGGCATAATCCGGACCATATGAGTAGGTCAGTGTTGTAGATGGGAGTTTTGAAGGTATACGATTAAAGAAAGTAAAGTATAAGACGTTTGTCGTCTGCATTGTAAAAACAACAATAAACTATTGCAATCAAAAAACCACGCAAGTAGCATTAATCATGTTTTTTTTTCCTTTTTAGGCAAGACAATCCAGAAACAAACAAAAGTAATACCGTTGTGTCGTTATTCTTTGTCAGATCTTTAATTGTTCATAAAAAACTGTTGAAAATCTCGGAAAATTGTTCAAATAAGGAAAAAACCGGGTAAACATTTCGTATTTTTTAAGGTGTCTATAATTTGAACAATTTGAACTAATCAAAAAGTTTCTTAATCAATTTTTTTTTTTACTGAGAAAAATTAACACGTTTTAGTAAAACCAATTGTTTTATTTCATTACACTCAGAATCTGAAATATATCGTATTTTTCAGGAAATTGTAAATCACAACTTGATGGCGATATCCAAATATATAATTTGTATGCACACAATTTACAAAATAATATTCAGGTTTTATTTTACAAGTACACCATATTTTAGACTCTGAGCGCAGTAAGGAATATTTGTGTTTTACTATGTAGTTTTTTTTTTGTCTGTTAAGAATTTTTCTACAAGAAGTATTGCTTTGATTTTAATGTCTAGCATCTTTATAGAAAAAAAAAAAATATATTTACTCGATTTATTCTCTATAACAGTTTGTTAAATAATTGGAAAAACATAAGGAAATTTACAATGTTTAAGTTATATTACAAGTATTATTTCTGATTTCTTGTTTTGTTATAATCCAGTTAAAAATAATTGTATTAAAGATGTGTAATTTTTAAAGAATATATTATAAGTCTATTTTTTATACGTCGTAAAATTGATAAAAAATTTTTTTTTTGGTATTTGTAAGTTTTTTATATCGAGTATTTTTTTTAGATTTGTATTTGGTTTTATTTGGATATGATTGTTTTAGACAAATACAAATGATTGAATATTTAACACAAGGTTTATCATGAAGATTATTTGGTGATAAATAAAACAAAATCGAGCCTGATGATGTAATTTTTTTAAAAACATTTTAATTTCAAATTTTGATCGTGAACTTTAATATATAATCGATAAGCCGAACTTCACTTAAATTTTATTTCGTTAGCAATAATTTATTGTTGCGGCGTACAAATGTAAATTAAATATAGTAAATAAATATATAAATAAAAAATGTAATATACAAATAAAAAATAATTAAATGAATAAATGCGTTGTCTGGAGTACTAGGATAAGTGTACTATACGACCGGTTTCAAAGGTGAGGTTAGGCGACTCAGTATTTTACATTTTGACCGTGATATACCTGATGATGAATTTTTAATTCGCAACCGGTTGTATACACTTAATACACTTATAATACTACAGGCGACGCATTCATTCATTTATTTATTTTTATTTATATATTTATTTACGAGTATTAATCATTTTAATAGTTTTGTGATTACTTTATTATTTTATAATTGTTAATTAAATAACTTAATGTGTCCTACCTTTCCAATTTTCTACCTACAATTGTGAAACACCTATCAGTAGTATTTGCTATTTTTTAATAACGTGGTATATGATGGCAAATATTGTACGTTATGCAACGACCAATTATAAACTTACATGAAAAATTCGGTCGACGTGGTCTTTTGCAGATTGATCATCTACTTGCGGATCGGTATGTCTCCCCAGCATGCAATAAATGGAATGTACTACATCTTGCATTTCTTTCTTCGTTATAACTCCGTCTTTATTGAGATCGTATAAACCGAAAATCCAATGGAGTTTCTCTTGAACACTACCCCGAGACACTTTCGATAGTATAGCCAGAAAATCCTGTAATTTAAAAAAATCGTAAATACCTATTCATATATCGGTAATATTATTAGATTTCCAAGTTTTTTTTAGACGTTACTATTTATTTAAATAGATAGATTATCCAGTAAACATCAGATTTATGCAGTAGAATAATAATAATAAAAAAATGTTATCTGAACTTTAGTTGTTCTACAATAATTTCGATCTACAAACGAACTCAATGTTTAACCAAAAACGCATTTTGACTTAAATACGTTTTTTAGATTTTAAATCTGAGAACTACATAGATATTTTGGTTTTATATATAGTATATTATAGTCAATTTTATATCATATCATCATTATAGGGATTAGACAATATTTTTAAAATAAAAATTTAATGAAAAGTTGTAAAAATTCTCTTAACTAAAAAATGATTTATTATAAAATCATTTTAAAATGTATTCACTCAATCACGTTACAGACGTTTAAATTAAATCGAGTGTATAATATTTGAAAATCTTAATAATATTTTATTTCAGAAAAAATATTATTATAATTTTATTAAACATATAAATCTATAAGTAAATGCGATCGATTCTTTTTAACTGAAATATACATATATATATATATATTTTGTACAATTATATTTTTATATCAGCAGTATTAAAAAAAAAGATATATAGGTCTATAATACTGTATATGATTCCGGTGGAATTTAAAGCCCCTGGAAGAATATAAATTATCCAGACGATCTTTTTATACCTATATATTGAAAAATAAAAATATTGTATCATGAAAATAGGTACATTCTGAATTCTCGGAATTATTTATTGGTAATACTGTTTATTTTAATAATTGACACTGAAATACAAGAAATTATTAAAATATTTGTATACATTTCTCTGTTTTCGCAAATTGAAAAATTCTAAGTAAAATTTAAAAAAAAAAAAAATCAATATTTTATTTATAGGTACAAGAGTGTTTTATAGACAGTTTACCTAGTTCGCAGCCGGTCGATTTATTTTAATATTTTCATCGTTTACGTTATTAATTAAAAATATAATTTAGAGTTAATTTCTAACAAGTTTAATTTAATATTAAAATATTACTATAACATAATATAGTAGTGATATGTTTATTGTTGACTTTTCTAAAAAACTTAAACAAATCATTGTATAAAAAAAAAGTACTTTCTTAACTTAATGGTAGGTTTCCTGCAATGGGTTTACAAAATGCCAGTTGTTCACATAACAAAATAATATGATACGAGTCGGTAAATGGATTTTTTTTTCAGACTTGTTGAAAATCATTGATAAAAATACTTAGGATAGGTAGATAGTTTTTTGCACGTTCCTGTTTTCGAAATAAATTAAAAAGTTTTCTTTTGACTTTTCACTCAACAATATTGTATACAAATATAAAACTAAACTAGATTTAAAAAAAAAAAAAAAAAAAAAAATACGACGTCGGTTTGCTGATTTAATGAAAATGTCATCTTATAATAGGTATAGAAATTGAAAAAAAGTACAACAGAAGAGAGCGAACATTTTAGTTCAAACACTTAAATTAAACATATTTCTGAATAAATAATTAAAAAATAAACGAAAAGATCTGCTACATCCCAAGACGTCGACTTATATTATTTAAAAAGAACCATTAAACAGTTTTTTTTTAATTTTACATTCTTGTAAAATCGTATTTGTATTGATTTTAATTGAGACTGATTGTATTAATTCATTTTATGGTTATAATATTTATTATATATTTTGTATTTACAATTCAACATAATATTTTGCTGCAAGATTAATAATTGATATCGAAATTGTTTCATTCATTAATCTACTAAATTGTTAATTAGACGACAACATGAAAATGTTTAAAATTAAATATTTTTTCAATTGTACTATTTTTTGTTTTCGATATATTATCATCATATTATATTCACGTTATTTATCTATTATGGCTGCTTTAACTTTAAAGTAACTACCAATGGTAACCTATATTTTTACCTACCAAAGTTTTCGGAGAACTTTGGTGAATTACGTTTTCATTATTTTAATGACTTATTATCCTCTAGGTTTTTAAAATGTAATTTTATTTTATTTGAGTGTCATTATAAAGAACAAGATAAAAAAAAAATCGTAAATAAAAATTACCTCGAAACTAATTTTTCCCGTTTGATTTCTCTTGATTGTATTGAACACATATTGGGCGTATTGAGAGGCATCTAAAATAAATTGTACAGTTTAATAAACACATTAATTGATTTAAAACATAGATAATATACTAGGGAAACCAGTTCATAAATAATAAAAGATAATGCATAACAATTCAACTAAATCTATATTTAAAAATAATAATAAAAAAAAAAACAAAACTTGTTTTTTTATTGAATATCACATATTCTGTATTAATTAAATAAATATAAAATTATCATTATAATCATTAATAATTTTAATTTGAAATTAAATAATAATATAAGTTGTGTACTGTACTCGTGGATTTTTTCTCTATTCTGCAAAAATCATAAATTGATACGTTATTTTATTTTATAGTAACTAATATCGTTTTTCTATATGGACTAATATGTATTTTGAATGGCTAAAATTTAAATATATTTATCGAAAATTTGCACATTATAGTTATTACTAATAACTTATTAGTTTAATTTGAATAACTTACCACCTTGAGGAAAAAATTGTGAAAATATATGTTTGAACGAATCTTCGTCCACCATGCCAGTAGGACACTCCTAAAATACAACACATTATCTATATTAATTGTGTAAACACGAATATATTATATAGGCATGATCAAATCTTAAATCTAAAATAAAATTCAAATCGTCTCGTTTTATTTTTCGGATACAAGAAAATAATAAAATTGTAAAATAAATCATAAAATCATATTAATTATAGTGATCTAAAAAATTTATTTCACAGTTGAGAGAAGCGGTTTTTTGGCAGATTCATGTATACATATATTTGCCTAGAAAATTGATATCTAGACTAGTTAGTTTTGTAACTTAACCTTTTTGGCCCTTTTGAAGCTTCTATTGAAGATCTTTATTATTCCCGATCTTCTGTATTCTCAATTATTGCTCCTTCTCTTATATATTTTCAATATTTTGATACACAGTCCATTCAATGTTGCTACAGTCTTCTCGCTATTTTTATTTAATTTGATATAGATTATAACTCGCTTTGTTATCACACGCAATATTTCGCTTAGCACATTCCAATCTTTCTGGTTTTAAAATACAGTCTTTCCCAATTCTCTCTCTCGTATGATATCAGTTCAGGGTCTAGATTAAGCCAACATATTTTTATCACTAAGTTACTTTTATCACCTTGTGTTATAGGCCATGTCTTATATTTTATTCATGACAGTAAGAAGTAAGTAAGTACAATAAGTAAGCACATTTTCTTTTGGTGTCTCTTGAAAGAATTTTCGAGGTGAACATCTTACTTAATGTATGATATTCTAACTTTGCTATATCTTGTTCTAAGTTTAATTTCAACATGATCATTTTCGGTGTGATATTTATTTTTTTAAATTTTACTATTTTATATCCATTACCAATTAATTTTAGTAAATAATAAATATATAAACAGACTCAATCAACAAATGGTGAAAAATCATTTGTAAGCTGTTTGCCATCCCATTACAATCTTATTTTTAAGCTTGTCAGTGATTATGATAATCACAACATTGCCAACTTAAGGGGAAAAATTATAGTATGAATAGTATTATGATATACAATATACTAAAGTATAATTTAAGTATAATACAATTATTTTTTATTATAATGCAATTTTAATTCATTATATTATAATTATACATTTATATTATACTTGTTTTATCCAGTTATCATATTAAAACAATATCAATGCCAATAGTAATATGTATTAATATTTTTCAATGTTTTCTCTGTATATATATTATTTGGTTTTATTCGTATTTATTTGGAGGCCTATTGTCTACTTTCCACGCAACTTTTTCCCATTCTCCTACTTCATATATCAAAATGTAACCTGCATACACTAATATAGGGTTATATTCTAAAAAAATTTTATTTAAAAATTTCCCTGTGTACCTCTTATAACTATTTCAAAAATGTATTAAAACATGGTGGAAGATAAAGTATCGCCTTGTCTCAGTCTAAATCTGAAATTTTCAAATTCTGTAATGTTATTTTTAGGAAGCGTAAGTTACATATTATTATTTATTTGCATTTTTCTAATCTTAAAGGCAATACAACGGCGATTTAAGATATGTTGATTAATTATAAAAGGTATATAAAGAATACAGACTACAGATTTTCATTATCACCTGGTACAATATTATATCGTACTTGAAGCAAGACAAATTTCCAATTTTGTATAATATTACTTTTGAAAATGTTTATGTGGATAATAATATTTTTTAATTATTAATAATAATGAAAAGTCGATTAACTTATAATAGGTATATATATATTTTGTTAGTCTGACTATACTTTAACGTTTGGACAACAAAAAATTACAGATATTATAGATAACATTCTTTAGGTATATTATATAATACTCAAGGAAAGTACGTGATGAATTCATTGGGATTTATGTTTTAGTCCGTCATTAATATTCATATTTATTATGATAATAAAGAAAAAGAATGGAAACATATAAATAATTGTTTGTATTTATTAAAATCCATATGAATAAAATTGTGTTTTTGGTAAAACTTTTGGGAATTTTAATTATAGATAGCTGATTGATGACTTAAAATCTGGAATCTGGATATGTGATGGGATAGTTTTAAAAGACGATTTTATATGCATTTGTGACCCCAAAGAAGAAGTTACTGTCATCACTTACTTGTTTGAAGCCTCTATAAATTAATTGGATTTCTTTTTTATTGAACTTGGTGGTTTTCGTGAGCTTAGTCAATTCTTCCGGTCTGTACCTCGATACGTGTATATTGAATTCATCAATATCTTCTTCTGTAAAACATAAAACATAACACAATAACGTGTTAGTAAATAATCTCCATCCATACAATAGTATCATGAAACAATAAACAATATTTTAGTTAGACCTTTTCCTAAACAAATAAATTACTATTTCATATATTGCATATTTTGTAAATATATTTTATAAATTCTTCTTTTTATGGCCATAAACATTTTTACAACTTCAACAGTGTTAAAACAATATCATGCTTTCTATTCCCGTCTTAGTCCATTTCTCTCTAGTCTTCCACGTGAAATTTTGCCAAGAGGCTTCAATGTGTGACATATTTAAACAAAATAAGTAAATTTTTACTTAAGAATTATATATTTGTAGTTTTTCTTAGTTATAGTTATTGAAGATTTATTTCTGAATATTTGATTATACAAATCCAGACTATCCGAAATGGATGGTAAATTTCATAAACTATTACATTCTCTATTTTGCTATAATTTAGGTAAGTCATAAAAGTATCTATATCAATACACTTTGAGTCATGATTATAAATATTAAAACACAGGTACTGAAGTAACAATATTACATAAAATAAAATAGGAATTTTTCAAGTTTTGACATTTATTGATATTAAAACTCGTGCTATGTGATACAATCATACTATTTTATCGGGATTATTTTTATTATTTTATATTATGAAGTATAGGTACATAATCAATTTATTACATCACAACAAAAACAGTTTTAAATAGTGATTTTGGCGCATGGGAATATATATATATTTTTTTGTATTATTGTGATGAGTTAAACTGCCGTTGTCTAAGGGTGGGTTATTTTATTTGTTGGTGATGCCATGGTTGATAATCATAAATTTTGCGTTTTGAGCCGAGATAACAGATTTAAATCTATGTATTTGCCGTTCGGAAAACATTTTTTGTTAAATTAGTCAGATATACTGAACAGAAAATTAAATACGGAAGAACTGTGTGTACTTACAGTATTTTAAAGAGGTTTGAAATGCTTATTCAGCTGACTCGATAATCGCAAAAAGCCGAATAATTAACATATTATAGTGAGAGACTTTCGAATGATTTTAATTTTGACCCATATACTCAGACTAATGTTTTCGGGACCCGATATGATTCATGTCTGTTTTATATATTATATAAAATACTCCCTTATATCGTTCGACAATTTCTCGTGTGGGTATTTTAAAATTGTTATGTTTCCGGGGTCCGCAATATTTCACAATCTATTTTAATTATTCGAACCATAATACTATACAATGAAACAGCGCGTGTATATAATAATAATTACAAACTAAATTTAGTTGCCAAATTAGCAACATAATATTAAATTCATTAAATCATCTATAGTATCAACAGGTGAACTTTTATGTATATGTATATAATATATAATATATACCTATATATTATAAAGTGGAAGTTTAATTTAATGAAAAAGTTTTACCATGGCAATTCGTTGTTTTTAATTTAATAATAAATATTCAGCTTGTTTATTCTATACATGACTTGGTTAAGTGTTGAATTTATGTATATTTGTTCTTTTATTTTTTTTTCTACATCATATCTGTGATCACAATACGCGTGGGACGTTTCTACGAAATATTTGATAGCAGTCATTATCAATGATAATATCTAGGTCGTTTGATCCAAAAAGTTGTACAGTCTCATTAAAAACATACATATTTTTTTTAAGCCCTCGTACCCAGTTATGTTATTGAAATGTAAGTACTTTTACAAACTAAAATTTGAGAATTGTTAAAATACCAGTCATTCAAATGAGGTTTTTGGAAACAAAATAAACATTTACACATATAATTGTATTTTATTTGTTTGTTCCGGAAATCATATTTATTAAAGATGTCTGTTAACAAACATTATGACGTCATTTATTAGTAAACACATTTTTATTTTGTATTCTAAACATATATAATATTTCTAGTTTGGTGAACTAGAGATTTTTTTTTTATAAGTTACCAACAATTATATTACACTCGTAATAAAGTTTCGATAAACTGCGATGACTCTAAAACAACTAGACATTTTACTCAAAAATTATTTTGAAATATTATATAGTTGGATGTATAATGTATATACTGCAGTTTATATTTATAATAATATTTAATACGATGACGCGCGACGGTTTCGGTATACTGCTACAGATAGCACTGCAAAACATAAAATGCACACAGTAACGGCTATAACATGGTACTATACGTACTATATTTTATAGCTATACCGAATAAGTCGGGTAAAATGTATTATACGAGTAAATGCCAACACAATTCCAACACCCGGGACTCTGCAGGCCTTTAAATTAAATTATTCCAGTATTAAAATCCCATCTCCGTGGCCTAAAATATTACACTATTCTCTTCGGGTGTCCGCGTCCTCACGGTCAACAGATAATGTCCCGGGGATTAAAGTCGTAAATAAAACGAATTTAGTGTCATCTAAACGTATCTAAATATAGGATGGCGGCAAGCTTTCATATTATGTACTTTTTCATAATTTTTTGTCCACATGTATTAACGTTATACACGTGCGTATTATAACAATATATACACAGCTTGGGATAAATGCAAAGATGAAGAAGGTTAAATAAATTTAGTTTTGAACGATATTTCGTAAAATGTAAAAAGTAAAATTTGTTTGGTAAAAAAATTTAGACGATCGGGGTTTTAGTTTGGGGATAAACGGCAGTTAATTAAATTATAAATAGGTGTATGCCTATCTACCTATAATAAATAGGTCACTTACATAAACGCTTTTAAATTTAATTTTCAAAAATCTTATTGTTATCTACTCAAGAGAAATAATATTAATGTTTTATGTATTTTAATATTATATTTATTGTTTTTATATTATAATTATGTCAAACATTCTTTATAACACTCGAGTATCTCATGTAAAAATAAAAGTCAAACTTGTCTATCTGTAGCGCTTTTGTCTTATCTTTAAAACTTAAATTGTAGTGTTCAAGTTTATATTTGAATCAAAATACAAATAAAAATAATTAGGACTTCAATGAAACTTTGTGTCATAGTGCACCCAGTTTCCTAGATTGTAAATGAACACCAAGAGTGTTGCGACGGTTAACTTCTAAAGTTCTTAAATTCCAGGTGAGTGCGATTCACATACAATTAATTATAATCAAAGATATTATTAACAATAATGTAAGCGAAAAAGTGCTAAATAATAATAATAATAATAATACCTTTAAAACAGAGGATATCATAAAACAATTTTATCGTACAGTGAAAGATCTGAGGATTTTTGTTAAATGTCATAAAACGTCCTCGTCTCTCAAGAATCAATTACCCAAATAATTTATAACGCCGTGGTTATTTAAAATTTCAATGCACCTATCGCAATTTTAACGTCGGTTTCAGACTGTTAAATCTTCAAAAAATATTCTGGATTATACATTTTTATGAGTTTGTACATTTTAATTCATATGCAGTTTTTAAATTTTCATAACATTCAGGTTCTTTAATTTCGTAGTATAATAACTTCTTTCTGTTCTTCTCCTTAAATTATTAGAAAAAAAAAAAACTCCAATTAGTATAGTGTATGTTCGTACTATGGTTTTAATATTAATAATTGTACATAATAATATAAATTATGACGGTCTGACGTTTGACGACAATGCTCGACTAATTTCGTCAGGGTAATGGATGCATCAGGAAGAAATAAATTGCCTTACCAGCTTTCACACATAACTTCGAAATTAACAATAATAATAAACAACAACCTATTAAACGCTTGGTGCGTACGTCAGTAGCTTTTGTGTAACGCGACAATTGGTCTCTAGGTAAGTTTAAAGAAGTAAATTGGGAAACGGAATAATAATAAAAAAAAAAAAAAAGAGTCAAAAATAGAACAATACATTTTGCTCACCAGCCGCACTCAAACTAGAATCATTGGCAAATGTATCAGATATTACAAATTGTCAATATACAGTCATAATGGGAATTTTTTCATAAGAAAACACTATTAACTCGAATAAAATTATGACAGCACTTTGCTTTATGTACCTATTTCAAAACTACAAGGTCATTTGTTTATCATGATCCAGCAATTACCTTAAAGAGAATTTTAAGTGAATTTGATTTCGGTTTTTCTAATCATTATGAAATCGTTTAATCTTTATTTTAAAACCATTTTTAAATTTATACCCCTACTCTGTATTATACTCTGTCTTAAATAAGTGCATACTTTTGATTTTCAAATTGATCAATGAAATCTCGCTGAGGTGAAATAAAGCAAAGAAACGTACAGTTATTAGACGTTTTTAAATAAATACACCAACTTTTATAAAACAAATAAGAGAAAAACTTATTATTTTTGTATTAAAACATTAGAATATAGCTGAGAAAGTTGTAGACAAAATATTAATACATTTCATTTTTGTTTTAAGATTACATTTGGGTATAATATTATGTACTCTTTCAGTTTTAACGCTCTTTATTTTAATCAATTTAAGAAAACTGTTTCAGTTTAAACCCACAATATTTAGATTTTAAACAGATGAAGGAATGCATTGTTACTATGGTGTGTGTGTTTTATGTTCTTTTAAAAAAAAAAATATTGTATTAGAATTGACTTTTGAAACTACATTTTTTCAACTTATAATTTTTGGAGATCCTTAGAAATTATCTCTCTGGGGTCGAACATTGGCGTACGAAAATGTTTAAGTCAATACGCTCCCAATCCTGAATTTAATCATATTATGCATGTTAGGATAGTCGGCTTACATTCGTTTGCAAGAAGTACAATTCATCCGTCTTTCTTGTAAACACCGGTCTAAATGATGCTTTGAATACAAATATTGTTTGTCGTGTTTCAATTCCCGGAACAAATAATTTATTTAATAAAAATAAATGAAAAAAAAAGACGTCCTAAGATAATGGGGACGGGTGCAGCCACCGTTATAAAAAATTCAATGTACACTAATAAACTATTGCTTACAAAAAAAACGATTCTAATCGGAGTTCAACTGATAGTGATACTTTGTCAACAATATACAAGTAATTTTATGTTAAAATAATTCAATAGACTATATATATTTTCTCTAATAATATTTATTTAATGTTGTACCGATTTTCCCAGTTTTCCTATGTTTTTCTCGGTTTTCCCATTTTTATCCCGGTTTTTCACGTTTGCTGGGAAAACTCTTGAGAAAATCGAAAAACGACTTCTCCAAAGTGCCTAGTGAAATTTCCTTTCAGAAACATTGCTATCGTTAAAAGTTGCAAAATTGTTGGTAGAAAAGTTGTGCACAGAATAAAAGAAGGCCGTAATATTTTAAGTAATACCTATATTTCTTATATATATATTTTTCCGTTTATATTTTTTCTGTTTTTCAAATTTTATGAAAAAACTCTTAAAAAAATCGAAAAATGATCTCGCCAGAGTACTTTCCCACGCTGATTTCCTTTCAGAAAAGGTGCTATACGTAGAAATCTGAAAGAGGCTACTGATAGAAAGTTGAGCATAGATAAAAAAAAATAAAATCTTTGTAAAACTATAAGCTTCTTCGCTTCACTCAGAATCTCAAATTTTCAACTAGTAAAAATGCCCAAAATGAATTACGTCGTAATATGAAAAACTTTAACTATTTTCCTGTATTTTCAACAGATTTTCTACACAGCTAAAAAAAACCGATAGCAATCAATGAAGATACATTGGTTATATTTTTGTTGATTTTTCGGTCACCTATGGTTACGTTAGAAAAAAACAATCACTTATTTGCTCTGTAAGTCTAAAATCCTACCAGTTCCTTTTCCAAGTTCCGTTAAAAATGGTTTTTTTTTTTTATTACGATGATTTACTGGTTCTTTTAGTATACAAACTGAATTATTCTCCATTCTATTCAACTTTACATCTACAATAGTGATTTGACTATGATACAAAGTATATATATATATATATATAATCGCTCAGATTTATATAATTTGCGATTAATTATATTTTTTTATTATCACCGTTTTTTATAACAATTATAGGCCCACATTCAAAAATCCAGTAACGCTAAATAGAATTTATGAAATAAAATTAAATTTGGACAATATTATCGTTGTATAATATTTTCGTTCTTAATTCTTTGTTATTGTGTAAACCTTTGTTACGGTCACGGACAAAGCCGCGAGGCTAAAATTTTATCGCATAGGCCTTTATCTTTTAAATGATGGGTTCGTATGATATTATTACGGGGACCGTGCAATAATAAATGTTTTAATAACGTTTCCGTCAAAAAATATCGTGGATAAGAAGGATAAGAAGTTATAAGAATAGGTTTTGTTCTGGATTCCTTTCGGATAAATAGAGGGAGAAAAAAATGATGTTAAGAGGAATAGAGGAATAGAGAGAGAAAGTGATTGAGAGAGAATGAGAGAAATAGAGAGAGATTCTTTCGTGTAGATTATTATAATATCATTACTAATCACCATACAACCATTTTATTTTTTTTTTAATCTAAATATCAAACAAAACTGGACATACTTAGAACCATCGTGGATAGGCCACTCGTCATAGTTGGAAAATGTACGATATTGAGTGAAATTCAGTAAATTGATAAAGTTATAGAATTAGTTTTAAATAGTTCAGAAATAAAAATAGGATAATTGATATATGATAATTTGTAATATATTATTTAAAAAAAAAAATAAATGATTTTCATTTATAATCATTTTTTAAAGAAAATACCGCCAAGCAGGAAAAAAATAAGCATTTCGTAAGGTACACGATGTGAACAATTTGGATCATTTTTACTGATCAAAAAATCGTTTCCGAGAAAAAAAAAAAAAACGAAAAAATGGACTAAGTGATGGATTGTTGAGAATATTTCAATCGGTGTTTGAAGTACTATCAAGCGTAAATCTTCATATTTTTAAGTTACGACAAGAAGCCACAAAACAAAAATTAGAATAAAACAAGTAAGCGAATGTAAAATTGAACAATGAAAAACTACCCAAATGTAATTCAAAATAAAATAAAAAAGTAATAATATGCTTTTTCAGAGGTTCAAAAATGTAGAAATTGACTTTGAATAGAGTCTCAGGTGAATTTTATCAGGTGTAATGAGATCTTTTAAATTTAATCTTTGAATAATCAGCAAAAGGAATATTATCAATACCTTATTAGAAGACGTTATTACTGCAACGAGATAGACAATGTTGGATCATAAATTCACTGGGAACTGATCTCCTCAGTTCTCGGGCTCTTGCCGGAAAAACTTATGCGTTTTGGTGAATCGTCGGTGAATCGTAACGATTAAAAAAAAAAAAGCGGAAATTATGATTTTTCTTTTTAAGTGACCGGCTGAACCTGAAAGTTTTATTTTTCGTTTTGGTTATCTTTTTGATTTACGACGAATGTGTATTATATTTAGCACGTCTTGAGTGTTTCTTAAAAGTTTTCATTATCGAAAAGACTAGTATACCTAGAAATATTTTATCATCTTCAAAAGAGTAAAATGGATAAAACAGACATTAGGTTTTATAGCTCAGGAAAAAAAGTCTATCGGTGTTGATGTTCACGACTAGTTTATAATATTTACAGAAGAAATATAATGTTATTTTAATGTAAATACAAATAGTATTTTCTTGTTTTCGGTGTTATCCTGATAATGTAAGGTTTTTTTTATTTTTTCGTCCTTAAATAAATATAATAATAAATAGTTGTTATAGTGTGCTGGTTTCTTCTTAAAAGTAGATGTCAACAGTAAAATTACCGTTGTATCAAAATAATTTTAAAATACTCTCTTTCTCTCTGGAAAATGAAGTGAAAATGTTTTAATTTTTAACTGAAAAACGTACATTTTTTTTTGTTTTTTAATACCATGCCATAAAAACCGGAAATGCTTCTTGTTTGAAAAAAGAATTTTTACATAAACGTCTATACACTTTTATTAAATATACGAGTATATTTTTTTTTAATAATGACGTGTATAAAAGGAAAGCTTAGGGAAAATGTCTAAAAAGCATTGAAAATAAATGTATTTTCTAAATTAAAAAGAAACCCAACCATCCGTATAGTTTTTAATTTATATTTTAATTAATGTTTTTTATGCAATATTATAGCGCGGCAAACATCATAATATATCATTCAAATAAATCTATAGTGAATTTTAAATTGAATGAGTAAACACGTAGACCGCCTACACCAACAATAACGAGCTTCTTGACTTCACCGCGTACTACATATAGGTACCTAAGTTAACGAATCTTAATTTTTACCGGTCGCGTTTTACGTGTCGTTGGTATGCAGACGATGATTTATGTAATTTCCACACATGTTCATAAAAAAACAAAAAAAAGGCTGATTATTCTAATGGATATGCCACTGTTTCAAAAGGGAAGTATAGGAAATAATGTAATTTCTATCTGTACATAACGGTAAACCGTTGCTAATGAAAAACATTTCTAAGCAAAGTATTATTGGACTTGTTTTAGATTCGGAGCGTAGCAAGTAATATATATGTTTTACAAATATTTTTTTCATTTTTTTTTTATCTGTGAACAACTTTTCTACCACAAATCTTGCTCCGATTTTCAATTTTAGTATCTTTTCTGAAATGAAATTTCATTAACTGGATTGTATTTTATTGAGATCATTTTTTGATTTTCATAATAATTGGAAAAACCCACAGAAAATCTAGGAAAAATGAGAAAATGTATATACACGTCATTTAAAAAAGAGACTTCTTTTTAAATAGTTTATCGTTTCATTCAGGTATAAATTATATTCCCATCTATATCCTACTTTTTCAACTTATTATCTACAACAATAGTCTACCAATAATGCAAAGTATGTCCGTCTTTTTTACCTTGTTGCCAAAATACCTAGAAACCAACAAAATTACTCAAAAATTGTTAGTTTTCCTTTTTAGTAAAAAACTACAAAGAAAATTAGCAAATTATCTCACCATTACACCAACTAGAATGCAAATTCTACACGAAATTGCATGCAAAGTTTCTAATCAGAGAAAGATATCTGGTAGAAAAGCTTTTAGAGACACAAAATTAAACACATGATAGTAAAATAAATATAATCCACGATTCACTAAGAATCAAAAACTATTTCTTAATGGATAAATAGCCTTGTCACCCCCTGAATCATGAACATAATCTACACCAAAGTGATGAGTACATTTGATTTATGTTTTTATTTTTCTAATCTAAAGAATTGTTTAAATTTTATATATAGCTACCGTTTTCAAATCATCACCCCTTATACTTTAATTACATATTGATATTATTCTAATGATTTCGATTTGCATTACAATAATATTGGATTTACTGATTATGAATAAAGTATTTAGGGATGTGATTCTTTCATATACACTATATTTTTAAACGATAAACTTGTCTTACTTCATAGGTCTAAATTGTATACTGTTTTAATGTATAAGTTTTAACTAATAAATGAATCCGAATCCAATATAAGTGTTAGGCATTAAAATTTAATGAAACGTATTCAGTTTTAAAATTTAGTAAAATTGGTATTTATGCTATTTAAAAATCAATAATTGATACGAATTTATTAGTTACGGAATAAGGATACAATTTTAAGGATAAGGATACAAAAACATTGCAAATAAGTGGATAATTAAACGATCGTTTAGTAATAACTGATAAAAATCTTCTAAGATAATCGCTGGACCATAACGAGAAAATCGCCCTGTATATGAGTAGGTGTTCCGTAGCCGGAGATTATCAATATTTGTTTTCATATAATTTCACAGGCGTTTTACTCAATCGCCAAATTTGCAATGAACCCAACTTGAATATTATTATTATTATTATTATTATTACACTATTATAAGTCAGGCTAATAAAAGAAAAGCCAAACCAAAAAGTGTTTTGTTTAAAATATGACGTAGTTTTAATTAGTTTTAAAATAAATGTATGCCTTTTATCCACGAATTGAATGATGGAAATTAAACAACGCAAAAAGTATATATAATAGCGCAAAAATTGTTATTAATTTACCGAAATTTATTACAGCTATTGCATAATCATTAGCATTTATACAGGGTGATTAACATTACGTATGGCATTCATTATCTTGTAAAATGTTAACGTTTGTTTTTTTAGATAGTTTTAGAAACAAGTATCTATACAATTTTTCATTCTCAGTTTTCGTCACCTTTTTTTTGAGAGGGGGAACAATACCCACCTTTGATTTTCAAATAGAAATAAAAATCTAAAAAGAAAGGTCCGAACCTTCATACCTTGGTTCAGATACATTTTTGAGGTTGACAAAAAGGTCGTCAACACGTTTGTTAAGATATTGAAATTGAAAGTTTGTCATTGGATAGTTAGGGACAACGAAGAATAATTTTTGAAAAGGTGCTGCTTAAGGCGTTTGATTGGTCTCTACTACTCTACTCTACCATAAATTTTAAAGTGCAATATCTCGTAAATAGGTTGAAAGAAATATAGTATTTCAACAGCAAAATTTGTTTACACTAATATTTCAGCTGTTAATAAAATTTTTAACATAGGTTGCTATTAGTAAATTGAACGTGGTTAGTGGATTCGTTCCAAAAAATAACGGCAATGTATACATTTTAGAAATGCTAGTCTTTTTTTAATTTTCCTAAAATATAAGTTGTGTTGATAACTCTGTATAAATATTTTGTATTCAATTTTTACTTAAATATTTGTATCGTATTTTCATAGACAGGTGTCAAACAAAAAAAAAAAAACGTCTAAAGTAATATTAAATAGGAAATGTATAACGAAAATGTATTTACATGTATTTAAAATTGTACGATTTAATACAAAACAAATGTCACAAATTGAGTATTGGTTAATAAATAAAGTATATACATATTGGATCATTTAATTCAGCCAACATATTT